GAGAGAGAGAGAGAGAGAGAGAGAGAGAGAGAGAGAGAGAGAGAGAGAGAGCGGATGAATGAATGAGAGAGAGAAAAAGAGTAATGTTTGCGAACGCAGGGGAGCGCGCGAGTCCTCAAAGCCGTCCAATTGGATGATTGCCTGTTGTACAATGCGCGAAACAACCCCGGGGAGAGCCTCGGGGCCCGAGGGACCATGGACTCGTCTTCGACTCGGTCAACGAGGACGAGACGAGCATAGGCGAATAGTATACGGAGAATCAATCGCGCCTATTACCCCCTTCGAATGAACCGTCGAACGAACCAAATTTCTGAGCTATTAGCTGTCATTAGTAATACAAAGTATATTCATCATCATTGTGAAAGTGACAATTGACTCGAGACGACAAAGCTTCCACGTAGTCGAACTTTACTACTTGCTCGATATTATTCTCCCTGTGTGTGTTTATAAACATGACTGTTCGATTCTTGTTCGCCCTGAATGTTGAATTATGATCACGTAAGAGTCGAATTAACGGCGACACCATATGGACGTCGAGATACTTTTATAATTTTACCATTGACGGGAGAAAAGAGAAAAAAAAACCTGGGTTAACGTTAATCGACACTGGTGGCGTCCGACATAGCCGATGATCTAAGTCTTTCCGTATACGTCTGTCATATGCAGTGTGAAAAAAAGACGGTTTCGAAGACGCGCATCACGACGAAACCCACCGCGCCGCGACATCATCATCGCCACTACGACCGAGAGAATTACTCCCCGAGCCATTCCAAAACCAGTATTGTAATCTCATTCCATCTCCGCGACGATTTTCCTCGAGCTTCAGGATCGGCTTCGGGAACTTGCGCAACCTTGCTCATACGAATTAAACGAAGCAAAATTCTAATTTATTTAGCATTTACTTGGAGATTGTATTTCTTCTTTTTTTTTTGTTTCTATTATTTTTAATCCACGCGTAGTCTTTGCGTCAAAACGTCGTTGCACCTCACTAATAACACTTGGAATCGTGCACTCTGAGATCTTTACTGCTCCGTTTACTCCGAAGCCAGCCCAACAACTCGAGCTCACGCGTCTACGGACGCGGCCTCGCGAATCGGCTTTTGTATTCGAAAAATCAGTATTCTTATTTATGCTACGTGAGAGAACGTCGTCGCGAATGGCGCGCGACGCGTCGAACAGGCAGAAATCTTTAACGTAAAAAAGTCGACAACTCTATCGCTAGAAACTCCTACGTGTTTTATCGTAACAGTATCGTAAGATCTGAAGAGATACCGCGTAAAACTTGTCTCGAACAACACTATGTGTATAAATATAGACATGTAATATTATAAAACTATATCGATATACATATATATATATAAATATATATATATATATTACCTTAAAAAAAAACTTGAAAAAAATATAACGCCTCGCACAAGATGATATAGTTGTTTTATATATATATTTTTTTAGATACGTTTTTCTTACTATTATATTTCGACAAACACTCACACCTTCCTCCCTCCTCTTCCTCTCAACATATTATTTATAACACATTATTTCATAATAGCGGATCGCATGTATAACAAACGTTTGGGGAAAAAAATATATAAAAATTTATTTGAGGATATAAAATTTATTTATAGAAATGGACTTTATATCCCACAAATAAATTTTCAAATCTTTCAGTATGTATTTATTTAACGCGTGCACGATGGAGAAAAAAAATTGATTTTATTAACATAAAATGCGGTTTTAATGAATAAACCAATGACAACGAGCAAATTTTAAAATTCCTTTAACTTTAAAAATATGATTCATAAACTTTAAAAAATTTTTTGATAATTCTGTTTCCACAGATTTCGGAATATCATTTCGGCGAGTTCTAACAGAAAAAAACCCTGTGCATAAGAAAATCAATCATGATCTACGCAGTAAAAAGATGTCTTTTACACAGACAGATTAATTTCCCTGTACATATAAATAATATGACTACGTAAGTTTGTCTGGATGGGTCTTTGACGAGTTAAACTCCGATTAAAGTAAGTAGTATGGAACTGGGCCTTTATACACATGAAAAGTTTTAGTCGTAATCGTAAGAAAATCGGGCAATCGATTATTCTTGTTACGCGGTCAAAGATCAATGATCAAAGTCAATAATTTAAAAATCATTTTCAAAATTCTGGGCGTGTTACTGAGGGAGTAGAGTGACATTAAAGCACATTGTCATCCAAGAGACGATACAGAGCGAAATAAGTACACTTCACGTAATTTTCGAAAATACATCTTTGCAAACGCGAAAATTTCTTTAAGAAACTTTAAAAAATTATCCCAGGCTTAACTAACTCAGCTTAATAAATTAGCGAAAACTCAAAACACATCGGTTCGAATCTCGGTTTAATAATTTAGCGGAAACACAAAATACTTCGGTTGCATCTCGACTTAGTAATTGACTGTGATTAGCGAATTTTCTTAAGGAATCACGGTTACAATTAAAAATTTGTTACGTGTGAATTCCATGTAAAAGCCGAATACTCAACTCACCGTTATTCCGCCGAAATCGTGCCTCCAACAACAGATATTCCTTTCGTCGTCGACGAGCTGTTATCGCTCGTTGTACTTTGATCTTCGTTAATGATTCTAGAACCTCCACTCTCGAGTGCCGTCGTCTCGCGGATCATCCGATGGCGTTGCGTTATCAATACGAACTTGGCGCCATTGTCCGTTGCTAACCTCTTCGATCGTGGCCGGAGCTACGAACTCGGCTCGTGTTCCGTCGAGCGGACGCGCGAAATGAGGCGAACCGAATACGGGCGAGCAACGCCACATTAACGGCGCACAATTGCGTGTGGAAATAAACACGTAACACGCAAGCTCGACTCAATTCGAGCGCAAAAATCGCACGAAACTGCTGACTAACGCGATGCTACCTGCAACTTATGAAAAGCGTACTATTGAAAGTCACTTGAATTGGCGTCACGTGACTACGTGATATCATTCCGAGCGTCACGTGACACTTCCAGTCGACATATCGAGTGCGTTCGATCGTGTGCGCATCCTTGCTGACGCTACGATCAGAGAGAAGTCTGAGAGCGGCCATCAACCTGATTTTAGTGGCCAGAGCTAGGCGCATTTTCGAGACGCCATCTAACAAAATATGTTCTTACTACGTTCGTTAGGCGCATACCGACATGTTACCTGCTGGAACATGACCGACTTTTGGCTCATTCCCGAGAATCCGAAATTCCTACGACGCTAAGTTGGATCCAACGTTATGAACGCGACTTTCGGATATTGGAAAATTATTTTCAAGATACACTGAGCGTATTACTGAAAGAATAGAGTCACACTGATGCACATTGTGATCAGGGAGGCGATGCAGAGCAAAATAGTCAAATTTCATGTCATTTTCGAAAATACATCTTTGCAAATACGAAAATTATTTTAAAAAACTATTGTAATTTAAAAAAATTATTGTAAAAAGGTATCCCAAGATGTGCTCTAGATGCTAACACTATATGATCTAAATAACCTAAATATCTAAATAAGATAAATAACCTGCAGTAACATGACCGATTTTCGACCCATGTGCGAGAGTTCGACATTCCTACGACGCTATTTCGGATTCAACGTTATGAAGCTTTGGATTATGAAGCTTAATACAGCTTTGGGCTATTGGAAAATTATTTTCAAGATTCTGGGCGTGTTACTGAGAGAGTAGAGTGACATTAAAGCACATTGTCATCCAAGAGACAATGCAGAGCGAAATAGATATACTTCACGTCATTTTCAAAAATACATCTTTGCAAACGCGAAAATTTCTTTAAGAAACTTTAAAAAATTATCCCAGGCTTAACTAACTCGGCTTAATAAATTAGCAAAGACTCAAAACACATCGGTTCGAATCTCGGCTTAATAATTTAGCGGAAACACAAAATACTTCGGTTGAATTTCGACTTAGTAATTTAGCGGAGTCTCAAAACGCATCGGTTCGAATCTCGGCTTAATGGTTTAGTGGAAGCTCAAAACACTCGGGTCCGAATCTCGGGTTAATAATTTAGTGGGAAATCGAAACATTTTGATTCGAGTCTCGGCTTAATAATTTAAATTGTCGTCTTTAATCTGTTGAAATCTAATTTGTCGTCTTGTCAACAACAAACGCGTATGCATAAGAAAATATCTCCGAAGAGATTTAACGTCGTATATAATACGACATAACAAATTATAAAGTATATTAATCAAATAGTATGTATAGAATACACATAAAGTATATATAAAACATATGTAGAGCATATATAACATATATAGAGCATATAAACATGACATATATCAGTTGAAATATATCAGTTTAATGTATCATCAAGAAATAATCCGACGA